ACTTTATCACGGAAATGCGTCACAGTATGTTCGGAATGATTACAGAAACAAAACCACGAAACATGTTCGAAAACAAAGCCAATGTTTGTGTCAATTTTATGTTTCTCCTAACACAATCGATATTCAATTATTTAATGCTGTGAGTATTCACGTGTGTAAAATATAGTACAAACCCCATTGCGCCTCGTTCAGTGTGTGTAATCATAATTTCGAGACTTACAATTTCTTACAAGTAAGAATACAAGTAAGGATACTCGGACGAGAAACAATTATTGTAGAAGTTGTCATATTTGTCCTAAATATTACTTTCATGAACGGAGGTAAATTTGATAAAGTTTAAGCTAATTTCCAGGAAGACAATCTGATGGCTCTTCTCTGCTCTAATTTTTTCTCCATTATGGAAAAATTGCCGATTCCTGTGAGATACAATATTAGACGTTTATAGTTTCAAAGTTAGGTTTAGGAAAAAATTCTTTGGAATTGTAAGGGTATTTCAAAGAAACATTTTTATACACACATCAATAAGTATTAGCGTTATTGTTGATAGTTTTATACAAGAGTAGGATTAAAAAGTGTGTACCATGTTAAAACATTAGTTTTGTAAATGAATTATGATTATGAGTTAATATCGGAGAATTCCACGATAAAACAATCATAATTCTCATTATCTTACCCATGTCTGTGTGTCGACTATATCGCTGTGGAATACTTTATTTCAGAGTGTTTTTGAAGTGTAATTTTTACCTTTTTCTTTCACCGTTCAATGTGAACATTTTCTAAAACGATTTGAGTTCTTATTTTTTCTAGATAGCTTGCATTTTAGCGTTCAGATTTAACCAACAGTCAAATTATTTAGGCGTGATCAAAGATCCGATATTTAAGTTGTGACACAGGAGAGTAATTTGTAATTTTGTTGAAATAGTGTTCATGAGCTCTGTCCGTACACGATCCAACTGGCTGGAGCTCTTCTGAGTAGTTTTATGTCTCTCGGCGCTATTTGTGCGGATTCACGATGCTTTTTTCTCGAGACTTTATTTTTGTAACGAGAATCACCCTAGCGGCACACATTCCGAAAAACATCGTATTAACGATGACCGAGATAGAGGTTAACCTTCACGTTTGGGTTTGATTTTGTTGTGACGTTCCTGCTTCTGAAGCTGTGTGCAGGGTGCTTAATGTAAAGTTAAATGAAAACAAGTTTAAACGTTTCTTTTTTCCCCTTCTGAGTAAATAAGAGTTAAATTCCTCTCAATACCTATCTGTCAGTTTCTAGAGTTTGTTAAAAAATCTGACACTTAACCTCGGAGGCTTGTATACAATTTCCTGATTAAAACTATTACTTTAAAATTTGATAGAGATTTGTAAATTGAAGATTTTATTTAAACTAATAAATACGGAAATAGTTGATAAAATGTACGTCTAAATAATGCTAAAATTAATAATAATGATTACGATAGAAACAAAAAAAACAGTGACGATGATTTTGATGGATTTCACTCCACAAAACATCCTTGCTGTACACATTTTCTGTTGTATTTTGTGGTGGACGAACCGTATAACAGTATTGTTCGGTCATTAAGATTCATAGGTCAATGAATGTTGAACGTGAGTTTCTAGTCTTATTGCAGCGACAAGAATTTTATGGAAAACATTCATAAGATCTTTCTCCATAATCCTCGCACAAAATTATTTGTGTGATCAACCTAAATCTGCTATCCGAAAAGTGAGGCTCAGCTATCAGATACACATCTTAGCAAAGTTGTGGCAACATGGACGATAATTCACAGTGAATAACATCACAGAAACTATTACCATTAATAAATAGTAATAATAATTGATACACAGTAGTGTTGGGTGCAATAAACACATTGTATTAAATTTTATAAATGTATTATTAATGGTGTGGAAGCAATATGACCTCACAACTCCAGCGAGTGCAGTTGAGATCATTACAATATACTTGTACTTCCTTTACTTGCACCAATTAGCTAGTTACACAAACATGACGCTGTTGTGACAAACTACGTGCCGTTTTGTAGTCTACTGCTGAAATCCAAAGTTTCAAGACGACTCGCACTATTCCTTTACCGAAGAGTAATTTTCCCCAGCGCATACCAAAGCGCTAGCCCCGACCCCATCCATCAGCTGCCTTACTTCCTGGACCCCCCACCCACACACTCCGGCCGGGGCTGCGTATGGGCGCGGCCTTCGCCGTGGCGGGACCCCCCACCGGCCACGCGGCCTGCGCCCGAATTAGCCCTGCGGAGCACCGGCCCTACAGCCTTTGCCTCGGACGCTCTGCCGCCGAGGCGCTACGCAGGGCGCCTCGAAATATATACCGTATGTAAATTGAGGACCAAATAATCCCTTCACATTTTCTCGCGAAACTTATGTTCTAATTCTACATGTAAATTGGGGACCAAACTAACTCAGGTATGTGAAAGGTCTAATTGAGCAGTTAAGCGGGGGCTGCTGTCCAGCTTTTCCTTGTGCCTCGTTGAAAATCTTCCAGACTCGCTACTATAGCAAAATAAAAAGCCAAGCATTAGAAGAGTGTCCAAATTCCATGTTCAGTGTTATAGAATATTCGAAAATGGAAGAATATAAAAATGGTAAGATAACAGGACTGCCTTTGTAAACTACGCTGTTCATCTATGCGAGCCATAATTTTCATGATTTCAATTACATAACCTCATATGTAATTGACAAAATACCGAGCTTTCAAAAGACAGAAACTAGTTCAAAAAATGACGCTATTTATTCAATGAATGAATGAATGATTCAATTGAATCTAAACCAATTTTAAACTAACTGAATTTCGAAAGAAATATGCCAGTTCTAAATCTGGAAAATTGGGAAGGGAGTTATGTCTTAAAAATAATGGTTATCAAACTGTTCTTTGAAAATAAAGTGTCACCTTCCACTTTTACCTGGAAGGGGATGTTGGTCCCCACATTTCTCATGCCCTTCTCTGGGTCGGTCCCCAATTTACATACGTGTTAAATTCTTTATTTTCCTTCTGGTCGCCCATTTTCATACGCCGAAAATATATTGTACGCGTGGATACAGGAACAGTTTTGGCACTTTATAAGAAACAATCCAAAACCCTGTAACGGAGCTACTGCTGGAAAGGGCATTACTCCCCAGACCTGAATTCATATGGTTTAAGACGAAAAAAGTTTGCAGATTATAACACTCAACACTGATTGCTGCAATGCATAATGTAATTTATATAACTCGGAAACGATCCGACGTGGGGGCTTAAAACCAAATTTTCTTGTCTTAATGATGACATGAGAGTTGTGGGCACAGGTAAATTCAGTGAGGATACGATTTTTTGGAGACTAGTGATGAAATGTCAAAGGAGAAGTGAAAGACATGTGGAAAAATGACGGGGTACGGTCGTAATACAAAAGGGGAATTGTTTCTTAAGAAATTTTCTACAAAATGAGACATGCTTGAACTTTATATTACTTTTTTGGAGATTTTTTTCTTTTGGTTACCTTGACTCCATTGTCTGGGTGGTCAGAAAATTGCTGAAAAATTAAAGAGATTCTCTTTCCAGATTAAACTTTCACGTTAAAATTAAAGGGATTGTTTGATTTTCTGTGCAATTTAATCTCAACCCTTAGCAATATTAGAGTGGGTACTCTCTCACTGTTCCGCGTCTGTAATGCTGCAACGCACGGTTCAGGGGCTGGCCGTTCGGCATTGTTTTCCGCTATGAAAATATTCTCACCATGCTTTACGAAGTGCGAAGTTTTGGCACTGGTCTACTTCTCTATTTTATTTGAAATATTTCTCCAAGGTTCAAGAGGAATATCAGGAATGTTCATTCACTCGTAGAGAGTTTTATTTCTCTTGTGGTGACTCGTTTTATCTACACCAAAGTGTCTTGTTTATGATTTCTATTCTTTGAGATATTCAAATAAAGATATTCCAATCCAAAAAACAAACTAGAACAGAAACACTTTCTAGATAATTCAAAGGATATTTCCAGTATGCGCTGCGAAATCGATGACGACGTCTGCCCGCTCTGGAGTTTAAACATTCCTTTTGCTGACATTTGCCAATTTTCACTATGTATTGTTGTTTCTATTTCTTTAAATTGATTTTTTAAAATGTTTTTTCTTTTCTCCGCCGTTCAAAAGTATGCACTATTGAATCATCGCTCGCGCAACTGATATCTCATTTAGTGAGGTGATGTGATTTTGTGAATTAAATTTTCGTTAATTAATCAATGTGAATCTATGAAATGACAAATTATTTTATTTTTCATCTTATGTTTTATTGTTTGTCATTTCAATTTGTCATCAATTAAAGCTATCGATTAATCTTGTTGCTAAAACTGAGTGAACTTTAAGCCTGCAACCGTTATTCATCTTAATAATTTTACTTATTTGTTCTTATTTCTAATTAATTTAATTAATTAAATGTTATGTTTGCCGTACTCATTACGCGATTATACTTATGAATTTATGACCTAGTTTTTTTTCTGGACGATAATCATAGGGGTAGTTTGCCTTTCACTGTATGAACTAGCCGTTTTCGATTTCCTTTTGCACATCGTATCTCTAAGTTGTTTACTCTTTCCCAGTCGCAAAGAATAAAAACCATCCTTCCCCCTTACTAAGAAACATTCTATTGTAGCCTTCTTCCTAATTTTATGCATGGATGAAATTTATAATAAAAATAATTTCTCCAAAAATTAATTCTAACAATTTCAATTCAAACGTGAAATAAATACCATGTTGTATTCCATTGACAAATTACACGTCATATCCGTTGTTTTTGCTTATGAGTATTTTAGGAAATGCAATTTTCGTTTATTGATTTTCTTTTGTTAAGTGAGTTTATGTGTATATGTTTGCTTCAAACGTTTCATCAGTAATATTGTTTTATAACTTCTCATATAATTGTCATTTTATGGAATGCATTTGCATTATCTTACATGCGTAAATACTTCGTCCTGGACCTCACAATCTATACTTTAAGGGTCAATGGATCCAGGTGCGTTAAGGTAATTCAAACGTGAAATTGAAAAATTATCAAATAATTTGATTACAATTTCCATTTCCTTAAAAACAAAACGCTTCATTTTCACATCTATCCAAAGATAAGTTTAGTTTCTCACACGTAATGTTATTGATGAATGCTATTGTTTACTACGCTGTTACCTATTCTAGCGCTGATACCTGTTCTTGCATCCTATTTTATTTGATAATGTAACAAATAAAATAACATAAATTGGCTGTTTCCAGTGTAATTTTGAAATTTCGTTGTATTTTTATTATGAAGATACTCAAATGAAAATTGTGCTTGTATATAAATTGCGAACTGAAATCTGCATTGTATTTAACATTTTCTTCGAATTGTTATTATTAATCGTGACGATGAGGCAGCAAAATAACCCAATTACTGATACAAACCATACACCTCGTTGGGTAATTTACTTTAAATATTTATTTAGGATTGTATGATTTTGATTAATTTTTTTGGAACTTAACCATACACCTGCCATATCAACTGACGATCTACTATCACACATCAGCCAACATTCACACAAAGTTATAGGAATTGATATTGATTTAGATTTAATTAAAATCAATAGAATTATTAAATTACCAAATATGTTAATAATAATATCATTTCTAAATACTAGAATATAGCAGTAACTATTGTTTAGGAGTTCGTTTTTGTTTTTAGTAACGTCATGTTTTAAATTTGAACAGATAAAGACAGTCGGGCACATATCAGCTGCTGCCTGCGAGTCCGGTAGGCAGCGCCACTGGAACAGCGGAAGTCGAAGATATTCTGCGGAAAGATATTTCTTCATTTGCTGCTGAACCTGTCTTCAACATGATCCACGTGGATGAGGATGATCCCATCGGGGGTGAGTTGTCATGCATTTGATTCTTCAATTTATATAAAAAATGTTTCATATCGAAGTAAAATTTGGGCTTCTGAACATCTCCAAGAACGAAATACGGAGAACTATTTCTTACCTGATACTTACCAAAGTCTCACTATTACCAAGCTAAACCTTTCCTAATATGTAAAACGGTGAACTTCATTTAGCTTTTAGATTTGGTAATATTACTATATTCCAGCTCCTTTTGAACCACCCATTCTTCAGTAATTGAGTAATGTGTAATGGAATTATTCATTGACCTAAGCAGCAACAGGGGCCAAACAGAATTCAGAGCTCCTTATATCATCAACCTTTTTGTTCACGTAGTGAGCCAGATTGTGCTCGTAATTAAATAAAACAATGAAATATAATTTTAGTTAAAATTCATAAATACAATATTTTTTTATGTTGAATCATTTAGAGAGTTGGCAGATGACACTGCCTCTTCCCCATAAGCAAAACAATGCCCCAAATTGAGGTTAAATAAAAAAAGCAGATATTTAACGTATTTGCGGTAATAAAGTGTGTCATTACGAAAGCCCGTTTCAAAATTATCAGGGGGGGTCATGTCTCCCCGATCCTTCTTTGTGCATGCCTATGCATTATTCACGTATTCAAGTTTACTAAGTGTGCAAAAAATTAGAGATGGACCTAACACCTTTTCTTCAATATCAGTTATGGAAATCACAGTTGACTCGAAATAATAGTTGAAAAATAACTCGACCATGACCAGCATTGGCCGACTGCTAACCGATAAACAAGTTGAGGCAACACTATGCAAAACCAATAACATTGGTATCACCTCAAAGCTTGTGCAGCTACCTTCGGCGCTTGCTTGCACTACTTCCGCAAACAGTTTTGGTCAGAGAAACAGCTGATATGAACAAGTCCAAGAGACTGGATGAACTACCCAGAAAGAATAGTAATTGATGTAATATGAGAAGCAAATGCGTATAGTGTAATACTTAAACGACCTGATTCGAGTGCAGATTACAATCCTTTCGAGTGGGCAACTTGTGCATAGCTAAATGCCAGAAATAATGACAAGGAAAAACTGCGTGTTTTTGCTTACTACAGTAAAAGTCGTAATTACTGTTGGTTATCTAAAAATAATGCAAGTTATTTGGCCATAACCTATTTTATCAGACTTAGGGAAATATTATTAGTGAATCTCACATAAGCCGTAATGGTACAGAAAGGGACATATTGGACGTATGTTGTTTACAGGACAATTTTTTTATTGTAGTGTATACAACAATAATATATAATTACATCGAGCTACATGGTGTGTAATAATGACGAATTATGTATTAATGAATCTATAATTTGAACATTTGCTACTGATTAAATGCACAGAGATTGTTGCAACGAAAGCATGTAGTTCTCGATTTGCTAATAGGTTGCAGAACTATGAATTTCAATCCATAACAGCTAATAACAGGGTAATAGAAATAACTGTTCTTTACATAACAGTTCAGAACCATTTACTGTTAGAAACAACAGTTTAGCTGGTAAAGGCACATCCCTACAATGAATGTGTTGAGAAGAATACATTACGGTACATTGCTAAGAGAAATGTTGACCACCAGGTAAAAATGGGATCTTAAAAACATTTATTACGTTAAATATATAAATTATTGTCATTTTTAATAATCTTTTGTATCAATATTTGTTATTTCTTAATGATAAAACTGGGAGAATAGTCCTTTATTTCTGCTTACATACAATAAATGGGCGACGTAAATTAAAGTGTGAGCTCAAAAATTCATCTGTAGGGTTTCTTTGGTATTTAATCAGAAGTATTTTTTATTTCATTTTCTCTGTTTGTGTTTCATTTACTACATTTTTATGACAATTTTGTGATCGGTACCTTTTGCCTTCCCTGGGAAGTATTAGTCTGATGTAGCTTTCGATTATAAAACAATGCTCTACAAAACGTATGTAAATTTACAGGTCCCGTAAAACGATTTTCCGAGCAACGTAAATCTCGACGGAAGCAAACAGCTGCTCCTCTCTGGTTTTGTCGTAATTCTGTCGAACGACCCGCGCGAAGCCCTCGTGCCACGTGATCTTTGTGTTGAGCGCTGCGTCCTGGCCCTCGTCCAAGTACACAACGCTGTCGCGTCATGAACTGTTTTAACAAGAAGAATTACATCTATGTTATCCGAATTTATCGACATGTAAGGAACTGTTGTTCGAAGTATCCGCGTAGACTGTAGTAGGCTGTTGCAGTATTCGTGAAGACTGTGGCGGAACCCTTCAGTGGTAACTCGGGAGGCTGCTGGGCCCCCGCAACCCTTTCTTCCTACTTGTGGTATTTCCCACGTCGGCTACCCTGACCGTTGCTTTAGTAATTTTCTATTTTTGTATCATTATATTTAGCGTGCTTTCAGTTTGGCAATTTAGTGAGTTTTATACTTGTGGGTTGCTCAGGGACCCCCGCGTCACCTTCTACGTTAGCAAAGGTTTCTTCAGTTCTGAAAATTCTTTTACTTTGGGAACGCTTGGCATGCTTTGTTTTTACGTTAGGATACTTCTGCGAAGTTAATACTGACTACTATAAACATTTTATGTCACTACTCCAATCTTTATATGTGAATAAAGGAGTGAAAGAATACGCCAGCTTTTGCTGAAAGCGGGAACATAATATGGCTCACGGTCAGGGAAAAAAGCAAACTGTTCGCAATTCCAAAAGGCCAGAATGTTTTTCTTTGTTTATTGATTCCAATATTATTGAGAGAATTACAAAATTCACCAACATAAAAATTGGATTTAGAAAGGAATAAAAACAGTACTAACACCTTTAAAACTGACAAAGGGGAAATAAAGGTAGTAATCCGGCTACTCATTTTTGCTGGTAAAATCAGAACATCAAAATCTTACTGAATGTACAATGTTGATAATATGGGTTTTAAACTGTACCACTGTACTTGGAATTTGAAAATATTTTAATTGTTACCACTAAATTGGGCTTCGATGTGAAAATGCGCGTAGAGCTAAGACTGATAGACAAATTAACTCCAATTAGAGAAATGTTGATTGTTATCTGATGAATTGTCAGAATTGTTTAACAACTAGATTATTAATTAATTGTTTGATTACAGGTTAAAAATTGTTAACAGAAGAATATACTGTTAATTATTTTTTAAAATAATGTATAATATTTCATGAAAATAGTGTGGGGATCTGAATTCAAAAAGCCACGTTACCACTGCAGAGTTAAATATTTAATTTTTTATTTAACGTTTTTTGCCGCTGCAAGCAACGAGATTTTCTCTAAAAATTTTTTGCGCGAAAGATGGGCGGCCTCTGTCGGTTCATTTTCTAATGGGGCCTCTCCCTGAGCTCCACCCTCGGAGGCCCTAGAGCTCGAGTGCCGTCGTGGCACGATTTGCTACATAGCTAGGTCGAATTCGGCTTCTGTTTAAAGCAGAATTTTAAACGCCGGCCGTTCTGATTGGTAGTTTTCCGTGGTTTCTCCAATCAACACCAGGCGAATGCCGGGACTGTACCCTACAAACGGGCGACGGACCGCGCGCGATCTTTCCTTCCTCTTCCTTGTCCTATCCTCAACCCTTACGTGTACATACTTTGAATAACATGCACTACACCGCACGTGCCGGGAGCCCAGTCGAGAGCTAAGAACGTGTCCAGGTTGGGGCGGTGCTCCGCTGGTGGGAGATACCTGGTTGATGAAACCCTGCAAGCCGACGTGTACGTGTTGCCTATGCGGGGGAAGATAACCGGCATCTCCAGCGGTAAAAACGTCCACTACTCATATTGGCCTTATGACCTTAGCAGTTGACTCACCCGAATGACTATTCCGTCAGTCCATGCAAGTTCCCCCCGCCCAAGGGCGCTTAGCCCTCGCGAGGGCTCAATCCCGCTTCAAACCCAAGGCGGCTTGCTCTGCGAATTAATCCCCTTGGCTTTTGGAAGGAATCAGCGGGTCGCTTAGTTTCACATGGGCGCGTTTATTCCGAGGCAAGCGCCTCCCACCCGCACTGTTCGCCTTGCAGTCGGCTGTCGTAGGGCTCCGCACGGAGGAAAATGGTCCCCTTGTCCGAGCCCTTCGGCGGCGAGCGCCCTCGTCACCTTGTGGGTCAATCGCCTTTCTCGGGTACTCTTCGGCGGAACTTCGCGCTCTCTCGACGCGTCGTCGTCGTCGTCACTAGTAGAAATAGTTGACAGTTCGTTACCCTGTCTATGCCGGAATAACATTATCTACTCCACCCGGTTAATATTCACCCGAAACCATTTCTTCGATCACGCCCTCACACGTGCGACTAAGCGAGCACGGATCGACTGTAACGCACCAGAAGTTTCGAGAAATTACAGAATTTTTTTGAAAAAGAACTACAATTCATTGTACATCATTTGACGACACACTATTCACTATTCACCCACACTATTCACTATTCACACGACACTATTCACCCAGACGTTACGTTGGCACAGTCCACTGTTTTTTTTTATTGCACGAGCTCCTCCACGAAGCCGGCCTTGGGGATGCTGCTGCGTGCTGCGGCGGCCAAGAAAGTTGACTCGAGATCCGTGGAACACATGAGAGTTTTCTTTATGACGTTAATTTGGCTACGATCGCTCAGTGTTATCATGATTGCATTCGCAGTGTCATTGACCGAGAAATCCTACTGCTGTACTACAACAATGATTCTTCACACGCAAGTGTTTGTGATGTTTGTGACTATTATCACTGACTATCCCATACCAACGTTATTCGTTCATAAACATCATTCGTTAATCGTCATTCCGTTCTAATGAACACCGAACATCCTTTGCACTACGCAAAGATGGATGTGTTTCTCTGACCTGCTCTGGGAGACGAGCGTGTCGTGTGACCACATCGCAACCTACGCCGTGAGAAAGTGACAGACGCAATGTGGCAGACCGCAATGTACGGCGGGCTGCGTTCCGCCTGGAGAGTCCGCCGCCCTCGCTCCCGGCCACGTGCCTCTGCTGCT